GAGGGGCCCCGCGGAGCAGCCCGCAGAAGAGCCCGCAGAGGAGGAGAGCAGTGGGGATATGCGAACCACAGCAGGTGCAGGGACGCGGAGGAGGAGCAGACCACGAGCAGCCAGACTGAGGACAGCCGGGCCACGCGCACGAGCAACACGTGAGCAGAAGCAGCCCCTTCAGAACAACGCATGCATTTGCGAACAGGTGCGTTAGCGACATGCACCTTGCAGGCTTCAGAAGGCTGGGAAGTGGGAGTCTCCGGCTTTTAACTTGCTGTCCTGGTGGTTATTGGTTGACTGGATGTGGGTGTTGCTGGTATTGATGAGTCGAGGAAGAGCAGCCTGTGGCCTGGGCAGCAGCAGCCGGGTCTACCACAGTGAACTTTCGGGAAAGCTCCATAAGTGGCTCCAGCTGACAGCACTGGTACAAGTACAACCATCCCAGAAGCTGATGATGACAATGATGATGCCACAACACCAGTAGACTCTATGCCAGAACCAGGAACCACTAACGCAAACTCTGAGATCAGATATGACAAACTACCAGGTCGAAAGAGAAAGCATACATCTGACCGAGCTAGAGAAATGTGCATCATCCATCTGAAGGAGATGATTGACTCAATGTACCTTATTCAGGATGAGCAAATCCTCAAACTTTCAAAAGGAATTTCAAGAAATGTTGGGCAGAGATGTGTGCCAACCCTGAATGACATTCCAAGGAAGAACAAGTCACCAAGAAAGGAAAAGACTCTTCCCTCTAAAAAGCTTGGTAAGATACCTATGAGGTTATTTGGGAAAAGAAAAAACAAATATACGAATGGTGTGGGAGAAAAGGCAGAGGAAATGAAGACAACATTCAAAGTGCCACATTAAATGCCATGTGTATTTTGAGTGCTGTTATATAAATCTATGTATGTAGGATTTAGCATGTGAATGTATGTATGAATAGCACCTTCTTAAAAGCTTTTTTTGTGATATTTGAATTAAATTGTATTTATGTACATGAGTACACTCATGTATTTTGAGTGTTGTTGTTGTTATACTCAAATACATGTACACATAATATAGAATAGTAGAAAAAAACAAGTTTACCATTATTTACCATGTTATAAAAATAGAAATAAAAAAACTGCGTGGTGCTCACTGTGCACTCGAAATATGAAGAAAAAAAAAAGACTATGAAATAACGGGAATTGAAACCCATACGCCCATGAGACAGACCTCGTACATGACCACTACACCACACGCACATTCCCGATAGGTCACGGCCCAAAGAGCTTTATATTATTAATAGTTTTCGTATAACTGAATAACACTACCGTTATGTGATTTTTATAGTTAATCCTTTTTTATATTCTATGTGTTTTTGCATTCATTATTATGGATCCATGATTTACTGTCTAAAACTAATTCAAAAGTAATACAATTTGAAGGGCTGCTATAAGATTGTTACTTCCGCTTCCGTCCCGATTCTGTATATGATCTAGTGCCGACCCTAGCACAATGCTAACCCCCTAGCACAATGCTAACCCCCTAGCACAATGCTTACCCCCTAGCACAATGCTAACCCCCTAGCACAATGCTTACCCCCTAGCACAATGCTAACCCCCTAGCACAATGCTAACCCCCTAGCACAATGCACAGACTCTATTTAAACATGTGTCTTTCTGTTGGGACAAACAACATTTATTTTTTAAAACTAAACAAGGGAGATAATAGTTACTCTAGTTTTAACCTTGGAAAATCTTAAAAGTGAAAAGTTTGGGGATGACTAAAGCTTGAAAATAAAACTTCCATCTGTGATCCGCACCAAAGAGAAACATTAATTTTGCTATACCATTTTGAAATTTCAGTATTCGGTGAACAGTTTTGTGGTTTCCAAAGAAGATGGGATGGAAACGTGTTGGAGAGGTGCATTTTCCTAATATAGTATTAAAGGGCGACCATTACCGTGATCATCATCTGCAGCTTGCTGTTACCATGGCAACACAATGAATACAGAGCAGAGCCAGGCTCCGTAAGCATCCGGGCAGAACGCCCCCTTCGTCTGTGGATTTCACTGCCCGGAACATGCTGCTTATAATGTACATATCTAACATGGACGGTAGATGGACAATGCTAACCCTCAGCCCAATAGGGAAGTGCTCAAGGGTGAAGTTTTACACCAACTTGCTCTATCTCCCTTTGACTCGTATTGAAAAGTAAACTCCAAGATTACCATCATTACCTTAAAAAATCCATGGTGTTTTATTTTTATTTTTGTTTTGGTATTGTCTTTGGGGCGACAGTGGCTCAGTTTGCAGTGAATTGGTCTTTGAACCTAATGGTTGTGGGTTCGATCCCCCCACAACTCATGTCAACTGTTGTGTCCCTGGGCAAGACTTTTAACCTGAAATTCCCCCTCTTATAAGGATTGACCACAGACTGCTTTCATTCACGCCAGATCCCGTCAGAGCAGGGCCTGGTTAGTGCTGTGATGGGAGACCTCTGGGAACAGCAGGTGCCACAGTGGGGCGGCTGTGGCTGTAAAGTGAAAAACTGTGAATGATTATGTCCTTAGGCAAGACACTTCAACCACATTAGAATGAGTCTGGTGTGTGTGTGAACGGTTGGTAGAACAGTTATCAGTTAAAGAAGTATTGGAAAAGAGCTTGGTTTATTAATGCTGTGTGACAGATTAGAGCCCTTTAATGATTTAATGATGATCTTACCTATGGCTATTTTAAGTAAATTGGCGTAAATGGGTCAAATGGGCGTGATCCACATTCAGCGAACTCTAGGGAGACGTCAGCGCCATAGTGTGTGGTCGATAATGAGGCAGTGTGGTGTGGGTCCTCATTACGACCCACAGCCTAATGGCGGTTGTGTGGTCAGTAAAGATCCCAGTCGTTCCCTTCTCCGTCTTGGGGATTGTCTCTGTTGAGTTGGCTTCTTGCTCCGAGCTCTAGCACCAATTCCCACCTGGACTCTCTCACCGCTCACAGAGGCAGAAACCAGTGCTGCTGCCCTTAGGTTTGCATGGGTAATGTCTGCCTATATAACCACACACTCTGGTGCTGGAAAGACATGAATCAAAAGAAGTGTGGCTCAGTACAGCAGAGAAGCAGTGTGGGGGCCTGGGTTTTGTTGTAGAATTATAATGTCGTATACTAATGATTTCCAGTAGGTGTTTGCATAACATGTCTTTGTGCAATATTAAAGCCTGGATTTAGTGGAATTCAGACAAGCACCAAGGACAAGGCTTCTGTGATAAAAGTATCATTTTCAGGAACAGCGTGTCTCTTATCGGGACAAGGCCTGACACACAAAACTGGACTAGGCCAGACTGGGACCAGCCTCAGACCATGTGACGTCATCGGACATTCTGATAAAACCGTTGGGAGGACACATTGTGGGGATTCGGAGCACAGGGATAGATTTAGGGAATAGCTCCAGGAGTTCTGTATCAACATTTAATTGTAAAGAGAAATAAATGTTCTATTGTAACTCTTGAAATCTTGGCCTTGTTTCTGTACCAAATTCTGAACGCGTCAGTCAAATCATTTTTGACAACAGTTTGCAGCAGGGAAAGTAAACAAACATTAGCGGCCTCCAGCAGACTCTGCCCACGGCCATGTGCACCTGGGACGGAGCCAGGGGCCAACCTCCACACCCAAACTCAGATCTGCAGATGCATTCAGACACATCCGGGGGAAGAGAGCGGCAGGATTTACATTTATCGCCCAGATGTTATTATCGTATGAATATGAAAAAACAGTATGATGAAAGGATGGAGATGACTCTGCACGGTTTTGACAAAGACGTGATTCAGAATTTGATCAAGAAGACCAAGATACTGAGAGTTCAAAAAAACAATATTTTATTCTCTTTGTAAAGAAATGCTAATACAAGCTCTTATATTTCCCTGTCTAACCTTATTATCTGAGCTATAACTATCCCCCCAGGCCTGAAAATGTAATGAGAGGATTCCCAGGCTCTCTGCTAAGTCCTCTCTCTGTCTGACTATGTCGTTCAAAACAGTTTTACTGAAGTGTGTAGAAGAAGAGGAAGGGCCTCCGGAGATTCATTTTTGCTCCATGTATGGTAAGACCGGAGAGTCTGGTCTGGGTCTGGTCCAGTGGGGGCGGGTCCCGGCTCAAAAGTGTCCAAAAGGACGTGCGCTGACATGCTGCAATACCACCCCGGGCCTGTGGGGGTGGACCCGGAATAAGAATTAGCCAATGCTAACATATAGTATCTTCTTACCTCTGTAAAACGTCTTTACAGGATGGACCAAAAGTCAGCTCTTGGCCCAAAGCTCCGTTCCACATGTGTGTCAATGCTGAGTGTTCTGGACCAGTCTAGTTTAGTCGCTGTGAACTTTAGAAGTCACTCGTTTAAATGAATGGGGCTAGAGCAGCTGACACATGCACAGATGTGTTTTTCACATTTTCCAGCCCCCACGGACATTTTGAAACTGCCCATAGACAACGGAAGTTGTGGCACATTAGTTAGAACTACGTCCGTTAATATTTACAGTCTATGGTCTGGTCTAGTCCGGTCTCATCTCCTGTCCGGTGCGATAAGAAAGACTCCCTTCTCTGAAAAGAACATTTCCAAGGCTAACCATTATCCACTGTTTTGCTCTAAACTCATTGACCTCAGACTAGTATGAGATATTTTCTGATATTTCTGAACAAACTACTTCAAAACAGCCACAACATAAAAAGAAAATTTCCAATAAATGCACTGTACAAATAAAGGGAGAAAAAAGCTCAAATCCAAATATTTTCCATCCATTTTGAGTCGTTAAAACTCTAGCTTGATACAGTTAGACACAGATGTAGTTGGTCGACGAACCCAAAAGCACAGTACGCACCTCACGCCTCCATCACAACCGGTTTGCGAGAGCTTCTTTTGGGCTGAGTAACCTCCAGCCTTTGCTTAAACTTGTCATTTATCATTGAGTTGACAGGGAAGCACATATCTGATTTGGCCTTTGGGGGCCACCGTAGCGTCACATGTGCCATTTATCTGCAGGTCACCGCCGAGTTCAAATCTGCATATTTGAAAGACAGACTCTCAAAAGCAGACGTAAACTGCCTTAAAGTGTTAAAGTACAGGACATTAGACCCATGACCTGACTATTGTCTGTCTGCATTTCAACTTGACTCGTAAAGATTTGTCATAACGACGCAATTTTCTATCAGGAAATTGGAAACATGTAGATGGCAAATGACAGGCAGATATAAAAATAAGACCAAGAATATAACGCAGTTGGAGAAAAACCGTAAACATATTTTTTACACATGTTAATACGTTTATTTTCTCCATTTCATGTTTTACGACCTGAAGTAAATATCATCTGTGAAAAATATCTGATGAAATATCCCCAGTGAATTTGTTCTAAATGTGATTCCAGATTACAAGCTGCAAACGCAACCGTGTGATGATAAAGAATCTCATGTCACCTGAGATTTACTTTTGTTTTGAAAAGGCAGAAAATGACTGAGCGTCTGCTTTAAAAGTGTGTTAATCCACAGGTGCCAACAGCTGCAGAAGACGTCGTTCTCTGGACTCAAATGTTCTTAATATTCACTCCTAAGAGAAAGCAATGCATCTTTTTGTATTTATTTTTTGTTGTTTTTTTAACCACTATTTTTTTATTGTATGCCTTGATGGTAAAAGTGCCTAAACCCAAGTGAGATGCCCCAACGTGGTATAACATGGGTCCAAGTATTCATAAAGTAGATATATTTGACTTTTTTTGCTGATTCTGGACACCATCAATAAAATATCTCTATCTATCTATCTATCTATCTATCTATCTATCTATCTATCTATCTATCTATCTATATATATCTATATCTATCTATCTATCTATCTATCTATCTATCTATCATTATTCTGACCCCAAACAATCAACAAATTAAACTTTTCCTCAGGATTCTGAACTTCTGCAAAGGTTTGATGTTGAAGCCAGGGTCAGTGGTGCCAGAACACACCGTTACCTGCTTTGATTTTCTCCAAACTTGCAACAAAAATCATGAAAAGTAGATGAGGTGTGAAGCGAGGTGAGGAAAATCAATGGACGCTCTGCAGCGTAGCAATCAGCAGCATCCAAATGTCTCAGATCCTTCCATCCGAGTCCCCACTTCTTTTAGTGTTCCCCCTGTAAATGTGTTCGGTCCTGGTCTGGCCTTATCCATCCGTACTCTCCGCTCAATCATCATTTCACTGCGTGTAACGTCTGGGTCTGGTCCCTGTGTTAGCGAATACAATCGGTTGTATTTCGACCGGCTACTCAGAGAGCGCGGAAGGCGGGTGTTGTAGGTCGGTGCCAGTCAAGAGTTTGCTCCGAACTGACAGGTTGTGGTTTGGCAGTGGCGAAGAATGCGATAGTGAAGTATTCTGGTCTGGTTCTATCAAGAAATTGAAGCAGGAGCAAGAGGAATGTTTTGCAAATGTAATCGCTGGTCAAGATTGTGGCGCTACTCCCCACGGACTCCGTTAGCGGCAAAGGAGATGGCTAAAGCTAGGCTAAATGCTAATGCTAACAACAGACTTGGGCGCATTACATATGTCACGGTAAACTCAGATCCAATCGTTTCAATCTGCAAAAGGAGTTAACCCCTCCCACCTGTTCACGGAGTCAATGGAGCAAATCCAGACCTTAGTACGAAATGAAATTTGTACTAAGGTGTGGTACGACCCGGCTAGTTCGGTCCTGGTCTCACAGAATCAACATGTTCTTACTCCCTACTGCCCCCTACAGTCACCACAGCAAACAGATAATGACTCTACTATAGACTCGTCAGAAGAGCAACTAAAATGTTAAGAAACGTTCTTTTTAACTTTTGTCATATATTTTATTTGTGTCCCCAGATTAAAGGAGGAATAAATCGTATAAGGCCTTTTCGGAACGGAATTCTCCTGAAGATTTTTATAATTCGGAGCTGCTGCTGTGTTTGTAATGATCCAAGCTATTTTCTCATTGGACTCTCGTCTGCAGTCCATGCGATCCATGTAATCCAGGCGATCCAGGTAATCCAGGCGATCTAGGTAATCCATGCGATCCATGTAATCCAGGCGATCCATGTAATCCATGCGATCCATGTAATCCAGGCGATCCATGTAATCCAGGCGATCCATGTAATCCAGGCGATCTAGGTAATCCATGCGATCCATGTAATCCATGCGATCCATGTAATCCATGTAATCCAGGCGATCTAGGTAATCCATGCGATCCATGTAATCCAGGCGATCCATGTAATCCAGGCGATCCATGTAATCCAGGCGATCCATGTAATCCAGGCGATCTAGGTAATCCATGCGATCCATGTAATCCATGCGATCCATGTAATCCAGGCAATCTAGGTAATCCATGCGATCCATGTAATCCAGGCGATCCAGGTAATCCATGCGATCCAGGTACTCCATGCGAACCATGTAATCCATGCGATCCATGTAATCCAGGTGATTCATGTAATCCAGGTGATTCATGTAATCCAGGTGATCCAGGTAATCCATGCGATCCAGGTAATCCATGCGATCCAGGTAATCCATGCGATCCAGGTAATCCAGGCGATCCAGGTAATCCAGGTAATCCGGCGATCCAGGTAATCCGGCGATCCAGGTAATCCAGGTGATCCAGGTAATCCATGCGATCCAGGTAATCCATGCGATCCAGGTAATCCATGCGATCCAGGTAATCCAGGTAATCCGGCGATCCAGGTAATCCATGCGATCCAGGTAATCCATGTAATCCAGGCGATCCAGGTAATCCATGTAATCCATGCGATCTAGGTAATCCATGTAATCCAAGCGATCCAGGTAATCCATGTAATCCAGGCGATCCAGGTAATCCATGTAATCCAAGCGATCCAGGTAATCCATGTAATCCAGGCGATCCAGGTAATCCATGTAATCCATGCGATCTAGGTAATCCATGCGATCTAGGTAATCCATGCGATCTAGGTAATCCAGGCGATCTAGGTAATCCAGGTGATCTAGGTAATCCATGCGATCCAGGTAATCCAGGTGATCTAGGTAATCCATGCGATCCAGGTAATCCAGGCGATCCAGGTAATCCAGGCGATCTAGGTAATCCAGGTGATCCAGGCGATCCATGTAATCCAGTTAATCCAGGTTTTTTGCTCACTAAGAACGAGCCAAATAATGTTTTGTTGCTTTAAAACATCAATGTTTTATTTGCGTTCTCATATTCATCAGGTTTGAAAGTCAGAGTAGTGACTAAAAGGGCTTTTTCTTACTCAAAAAGTCAAGCTGAAGACGGTAAATTACGGCATGATGTGTTCGGATCAACATTTTACAAAAGTGTTTCTGTTTGAAACTAAAAGACAAAATGTTCAAATACAGAAAGGAGACTGTGAGGTACCATCAGTCATAACATTTGGAGGACCATAAATCTTACTAAAACATGTCCCTAAATAGACTCTGATGCTCTCCCGCTGTACCCACACACAACAATGACTACACCCGCTGCACCCACACACAACAATGACTACACCCGCTGCACCCACACACAACAATGACTACACCCGCCGCACCCACACACCACAATGACTACACCCGCTGCACCCACACACAACAATGACTACACCCGCCGCACCCACACACAACAATGACTACACCCGCCGCACCCACACACAACAATGACTACACCCGCCGCACCCACACACAACAATGACTACACCCGCCGCACCCACACACAACAATGACTACATCCGCCGCACCCACACACAACAATGACTACACCCGCCGCACCCACACACAAAAATGACTACGCCTGCCGCACCCACACACAACAATGACTACACCCGCCGCACCCACACACAACAATGACTACACCCGCCGCACCCACACACAACAATGACTACACCCGCTGCACCCACACACACAACAATGACTACACCCGCTGCACCCACACACAACAATGACTACACCCGCTGCACCCACACACAACAATGACTACACCCGCTGCACCCACACACAACAATGACTACACCCGCCGCACCCACACACAACAATGACTACACCCGCCGCACCCACACACAAAAATGACTACGCCTGCCGCACCCACACACAACAATGACTACACCCGCCGCACCCACACACAACAATGACTACACCCGCCGCACCCACACACAACAATGACTACACCCGCCGCACCCACACACAACAATGACTACACCCGCCGCACCCACACACAACAATGACTACACCCGCCGCACCCATACACAACAATGACTACACCCGCCGCACCCACACACAACAATGACTACACCCGCCGCACCCACACACAATGACCACCCGCCGCACCCACACACATGACTACACCCGCCGCACCCACACACAACAATGACTACACCCGCCGCACCCACACACAACAATGACTACACCCGCCGCACCCACACACAACAATGACTACACCCGCCGCACCCACACACAACAATGACTACACCCGCTGCACCCACACACAACATGACTACACCCGCCGCACCCACACACAACAATGACTACATCCGCCGCACCCACACACAACAATGACTCCACCCACACACAACAATGACTACACCCGCCGCACCCACACACAACAATGACTCCACCCACACACAACAATGACTACACCCGCCGCACCCACACACAACAATGACTACACCCGCCGCACCCACACACAATGACTCCACCCACACACAACAATGACTACACCCGCCGCACCCACACACAACAATGACTACACCCGCCGCAGGGATTACTCTCATTATGACCACATACTAACACAAAAAACAAAACGGAGAGACCGAGTGGGAACATGGCAGCTGATGTGAAGACCTCTCAGTCCCTGATCCAAAAGCAGTGACAAGCGGTTAGTGACGTGTGTTATTACATACATGTGTGTGTGTGGCCCTAAAACACACAACTCTACATTTATCTAAAGATTGGCACAGAATCCTATTTATATACACTTTGCTTCACTACTTAATTTTCATGAGCATGTCCGGATCTTTCAGCCTCGCTCTGTTTCAGGTTTGTCTGTGACAGGTCTTAAAGCTGCACTAACTGACTTTGAGAAGTATCCCCTCTCTGTGCTCATCTGCTAAATGTATACGGAGGCCAGGTCTCACAATATGGATGGTACATTTGAACGTGGTGTGACCATAGAATGATAGAAGCGGGAATTGAGGAGGAACAAGACTTTCTTTTGTCTGTTTCTCTGAGTAAGCAGTAACCGATAACAAAGACACGGAAGTTTCAGGTTAGCCTCCGCCGCTTGTTTACCTCTGTGCTAACCACAGACCTGTGGCTTTTCTCAAGAAAGTGGGGGCCAGTGGTCCGCTGTGATTGGTCACAATCTGGACCCAAAACACATTCTCTTCCTTGTTTCACGAAAACTCGATCTGAAATAAAATGACACGCAGCACAAATCTGCGCTGCTTATTCTTCAAAACGACATATATCCCAATGCACTGCAGGGATATGGAGGTAATGCAGCTTTAAGTCACGGACCTAACTGGGGCGACAGTAGCTAAGTTGGTAGAGCCTTTGGGCCGGAAGGTCGTAGATTTGAACCCATCACGGACCTACTCCAACTGCTCCCACTGATGTCTGCTGTCGATGTGTCCTTTGGCAAGACACTTAACCCCACTTTGCCTCAAGCTCCCGCTGAAACACCAAGGCTGTGGCACCACTGATGGAGCAGCCATCTTCCTGTGAACCCACCCCCTGCAGAGGATCAGAGGGACTGGTGCTGTGAGCTTTGGGTGCAGCTCTCATGGCCACCCCCCAACCCAGACATGGATAAATAAAGGGGTAGAAAATGAATGAATGAATGAAAGGTCTTAAGTCTTTGGTCACCTGTTATTTACATGGCAATAAAAACTAGAAACTTGCAATGGCTGAAGCCATTGCGATTGACTGCGGAACAGATCTAATGTGGAAATCTGCTAAAAAAAATCCTTGAAATCCTTTAAAAAGCCTTGAAACTGTTAAAATACTTGATAGATATTTGAAACTCCTGAAGTCCTTGAAATTGTTGAAACCTTTAAACTCCTGAAATCCTTGAAACTGTTGAAACATTGAAACTCCTGAAATCCTTGAAACTTTTTTATACCTGGAAACTGTTGAAAGTGTGGAAACTCCTGAAATCCTTGAACCTCCTGATATCCTTGAAACTGGTTAAATTCTTAAACAGCTGAAATCCTTGAAACTACTGAATGTATTGAAAGTGTCCTTGAAACTGAAAAATCCCCTCACCGCTGAAACAATTTGGTTCCTGTAACTAAGGAAACCTGGTCTGTGGTCATTATCTGGTGGTGGTCTGAGTCTTCGTTTGGGTCTTGGTCTGGTGGTATAATGCAACCTATTAGGTTGCATTATACATGAAAAAACCCTATTAAGTTGCATTATACTGGTTTACATGAAAAAAACCCTATTAAGTTGCATTATACTGGTTAACATGAAAAAAACCCTATTAAGTTGCATTATACTGGTTTACATGGAAAAATCCCTATTAAGTTGCATAATACTGGTTTACATGGAAAAATCCCCATTAAGTTGCATTATACTGGTTTACATGAAAAAAACCCTATTAAGTTGCATTATACTGGTTTACATGGAAAAATCCCTATTAAGTTGCATTGTACTGGTTTACATGGAAAAATCCCTATTAAGTTGCATTATACTGGTTTACATGAAAAAAACCCTATTAAGTTGCATTATACTGGTTTACATGTAAAAACCCCTATTAAGTTGCATTATACTGGTTTACATGGAAAAATCCCTATTAAGTTGCATTATACTGGTTTACATGGAAAAATCCCTATTAAGTTGCATTATACTGGTTTACATGGAAAAATCCCTATTAAGTTGCATTATACTGGTTTACATGGAAAAATCCACATTAAGTTGCATTATACTGGTTTACATGAAAAAAACCCTATTAAGTTGCATTATACTGGTTTACATGAAAAAAACCCTATTAAGTTGCATTATACTGGTTTACATGGAAAAATCCCTATTAAGTTGCATTGTACTGGTTTACATGGAAAAACCCCTATTAAGTTCCATTATACTGGTTTACATGTAAAAAAAAAACCCTATTAAGTTGCATTATACTGGTTTACATGGAAAAATCCCCATTAAGTTGCATTATACTGGTTTACATGAAAAAAAAACCCTATTAAGTTGCATTATACTGGTTTACATGAAAAAAACCCTATTAAGTTGCATTATACTGGTTTACATGGAAAAATCCCTATTAAGTTGCATAATACTGGTTTACATGGAAAAATCTCCATTAAGTTGCATTATACTGGTTTACATGAAAAAAACCCTATTAAGTTGCATTATACTGGTTTACATGGAAAAATCCCTATTAAGTTGCATTGTACTGGTTTACATGGAAAAATCCCTATTAAGTTGCATTATACTGGTTTACATGAAAAAAACCCTATTAAGTTGCATTATACTGGTTTACATGTAAAAACCCCTATTAAGTTGCATTATACTGGTTTACATGGAAAAATCCCTATTAAGTTGCATTATACTGGTTTACATGGAAAAATCCCTATTAAGTTGCATTATACTGGTTTACATGGAAAAATCCCTATTAAGTTGCATTATACTGGTTTACATGGAAAAATCCCTATTAAGTTGCATTATACTGGTTTACATGGAAAAATCCCTATTAAGTTGCATTATACTGGTTTACATGGAAAAATCCCTATTAGGTTGCATTATACTGGTTTACATGTACAAATCCCTATTAAGTTGCTTTATACTGGTTTACATGTAAAAACCCCTATTAGGTTACATTATAGTGGTTTACATGGAAAAATCCCTATTAAGTTGCATTATACTGGTTTACATGGAAAAATCCCCATTAAGTTGCATTATACTGGTTTACATGAAAAAAACCCTATTAAGTTGCATTATACTGGTTTACATGGAAAAATCCCTATTAAGTTGCATTATACTGGTTTACATGGAAAAATCCCTATTAAGTTGCATTATACTGGTTTACATGGAAAAAACCCTATTAAGTTCCATTATACTGGTTTATATGTAAAAAAAAAACCTATTAAGTTGCATTAATACTGGTTTACATG